TCCACGTTCCCTAGTGCTAATTCTCAACAATGTGAGTTTTCATTACCCAGGTAGTAGATAAATGTCCACATGTCTCCTAGTGCTAATTCTTAACAGTGTGACTTTTCAAAGTGGAGAGATAAAATGGTAACAAAAAATAGGAAGAGGTAAAATCTTCCTCCAAGGACACCTATGTTACAAGTAAGTTCAAACAACATGCAAAATCTCTAGTCTAAATAATATTATGGCTCCAGTAAACCTTCTTATCCCTTCCCAGAGATAGGAAAATTAGCAAAAGGACCATTCAAATGAGCACCTTGCTACTTAATCTGATGACTTTAAGAGGGCTTTTTACTTAGTCTCAAATCTGTAACTATATTTGGTTGCTGGTTTCTCTTAAGACTTTATATTTTTTAATATCATCAGAAATAAATACTGAACAGATAAAAGCATTCACAACTCTATGCCCTCAAAAATTAAAATCTGTTTTCAAATATTCCTATTTTCTTCAAGTTTTAATCGGATGAATAATCATGTAGTATTTCTACACAAAGCTATTTTATATGTAAATATAAATTTAAAAGCCTATGTTTCCATTTAATATTAAATCTGAGCATTGTCTACCATCATGACACAGAAGTCTTCAAAATTATCATTTTTTGTACCTTAATGATAATATTCTTCCATGATCAGACATGCAGATGACTTTCAATTGTGTTTTTGGTGCAAAAAACCTCTTCCTACATATAGTCATTTCTAAATATTAGCTTTCAAACTTGCACGCACATCACAAACACCTAGAGGGTTTGTTAAAACACAGGTAGCTAGGCCTCACCCTCAAAGTCTGATCCAGTGGGTGTGGGGAAGCCTAAGAGTTTTCATTTTTAACAAGTTACCCAGATGATACTGAAACTGTACATCTGGGTATTACTTTCAAAATCACTATTGGAGTAATTGCACAGAACATAGTCATCAAATTGGGGCTTATAAACAACGTAGACATTTTTATTGTATCTAAGACATATTTCTGAAATCCATTTTTATAAGCTCATTCAGATTTCTACTGCCAACTATTTGGTATTTGAAACTTAGATAGATACCAACCGATCGAATGAATAAAACAACATCAAAAATTCTTACTCCTCTTCCCTGAAGTCAAGATATTCATACTTAGATCCATCTATTTACATTTCAAAGATATGTATTATAGCTGAGCAGGAATAAAAATCTCTCTTACTGCAAGTTTTTATCATCACTGTCCAAATTCAAAAGCCATTGAAAAATAACTGAAATATTTATAGCTTGGAAGAGAGTCAATTTCCACCTGCACAAATTTAGACACAAATTAGCTACATATGATAATTTTTAAAAAATTACTCATTGGAAGGGTAAAGGGTAAAAATCCAGTATGGGGTTAAAAAATGTGGCTTTGAGAAATTGATTTTGATATGTTAGTAAAAAGAAAATTCCCATTTGTCAAGGGATTATTAGAATATATAACTAAAAACCATAGTTAAAAATCTCAGAGGTTTTTTCTCATATAAAGGTTTCTTTTTACCTGTGCAGATGTTAATCCCAGACCTTCAAGTGGAGATATAGAAACATATCTACATCAGCCCCCGGGTTATGAATTAGATACATTCTGTAGGTTTGTTCTTCAGCTGAATTTGTATGTAAGCTGAAACAGGTACATTTACCTGTTACCTGTAATAGCCTCCATTCATAAGTGGGACTTGCATGTCGGTCTGATGTTTGTAACTTGGGGACTGCCTGTGCATATGTACACATCAGATAGCTACATGTGCGAGGTATCTACTCACGCACTGGTTTCTAGAAATCCAGGGGTCAGATATACGCTTAGGGAAGACCTTCTTCAGAGAACTGTTTCCATGGCTATGAAATCTGCACACATTTTTATACGACTTGTAATTCTTATTTGTTGTTATTGTATTTGTGTAAACATATAAAATGAAGATATGTTCATATATGTACAAAATTATAAAACCACATATAAGTAAAGTTGTGAAGCATTGTCAAAAAACGTTGGAAGGTGGTTGGCAATGAAATTGTTCATCTAGCTCACGTTGAAAAGTGTAACTCAAGAGTAAATGCGTTAGATATAGGCTTGTGAAGACAGTCCTATCTTTTTGACTTTTCTAAGGGATAATTCTTTCTGAGTCAGTGTTTTGGTAAGTGTGTCATCTTAAAGAAAGAATGAAATCAACAGTCTTAATAGCCTTCCTGGACCCTGAATTGTTCTTTGTGTTGGACAGGCTCATTATGACCATTTGAACACATTTATGCTCTTGAGATAGATAACTGGGGGACACATGCTCAGAGACCATGTATATTTCACTGTCCATATATTTTATATATTCATATACTATATGTAAGTGCAGCCAAGTAAATATGACAATATGAGGTACCCTCAGCAAAGATGTGACACAGTTTAAAATATTCCCATGTTAAAAATGGAAGATTAAGAAATATGGCCCTATAAAGAAGATACAGTGAGATGGTCATTCATTTAGCGTATGTGAGAATTGACTATAGGCACTCTACTTCTTAATCCAGGTATTCAAAGCAACCACCTCAGTTAAAATATTAGCATTGAGAACCAGAAGACTATTTGAAAACCAGTTAAACACCTCTGAGATTTTGTAATAATCACTAGTTCCTTTCAATGAGCAGAATGACAATCAGTAAATACAGTCCCTACCATACACAAATCAAAAGTACTAGGAAAAGTGGGTATACATCAAGACATTTTTGGTTCATCCACTTAATGTAGAGGAGGAGGCAGGGAAAAAATATGTGATGCAGAGGACATATGACCAGCTTGTGAAATTCTCATTTCTAAGCCTCTAGAGATAACCAGAGAGACCAGAGGAGCCTTTTTAGAAACACTTTACTCCATTACAGTGGAAATGAACTCTTAGCAAGCCAAGGAATAAGAATTTCAATCAATATATGTTCATGAATATTTTCCTTTTTGAAAAATAGTTTGGGTTTCCAATGTAGGGAGTGATAGAAATTTTCCTTTTCAAAAAATTAAGTTTCTTTAAAGGGGCTAATTCCAAGGGAATATGTTACACAAGTGGTAAAACTGGGCAGGATGCTGTGGCTCACAGCTGGAATCTTAGCGCTCTGGGAGACTGAGAAGGGAGGATCACTTGAGGTCAGGGGATTGAGACCAGGTGGAACAAGAATGAGACCTCCCATCTCAACTAAAATACAGGCAGTGACACCTGTAGTCTCAGCTACTTGGGAGGCTGAGGTAGGAGGAGAGCTTGAGTCCAAGAGTTTGAGGTTGCCGTGAGCTATGATCACACCACTGTACTTTAGCTGGAGTGACAGAGTGAAACTTCGTTTCAAAAAAAAAATTTTTTTAAAGGTAAATTTGCAAAAATAAAGAAAGTAAATGATTTAAAACACATAGTAGCATAATGGCACAATTTTCTGGGCCAGTGAATAATCACATCACAGTTAACTCTCTTACTGGTAGCTCACATAGGACATCGGAAGTTATGAAACCACGTGTGCACAACACGCTCTGATGCATTAAATTTAAATCCTATCACTAAGAAAACTTGCTGCAATTTTTCAGTAAAGCAAATCTCACTTTATCTGTGATAATACATGAATATATTCAACCAAGAGAAAAACATTTTATGAAGAGAAAAATAGAACATAAAAACCCTCATATACTAAATACAATACAAATTTGTACTAGTCACAAATATGAGAATTGATTTCTTTAATAAATGATTAAATATGGAAAATTGGACACCAATACACGTAATATATATTTTGCTTAATGTTATTAGGTTACATTAGAGGGAAATTTATTTACTTTGTTAATCATATGTTTTATTAAAACTTCTATTATATAAAGTAGTAATTATTTAAATAAACAGATCCCTGTGTTTTGAGTCTAAACTTAAGGGTCTCATAGTCTAAAGGAGGCTGATTCTCAACTGAGAATGGCCAACCTGGTAACATTTAAATCACTGTTATTTAATGTATTATAGTAAAAGCAGGCAGATTGACCAAAACAAATTTGTTTTTCTGCAATAAGTAACAAAAATGCAATAAGCCACCCAGACACCTGTTTCCCTAGTGAGGTCATTCACCCAAAATTTGTTTTCAAATGTCTAATAATATTATCATAGCCCCTTTATTGTCATTACAAAGCAGAATAGCAATTTCCTGGAAATTATAAAAAAATCAGTAAATATTGAGCTAAAATTAGGTTAAAATACAAAATGATGGACACCTTAGTTTAAGGCCAAATTATCAAACTTTTCTCAAATACTTATTGCAGCGACTTAAAAAAAGAACTGTCATACAATAAATTTCAGTCCAAAGTAGAAATTTTAAAAACTTCATGCTGACATTTCTATTGGTCCATCACTGATTTCTACAGTGGGAGAATGTGTATTGATTATACTCGATGTATATTCAATCATTCTATTCTATTAAGTAAGAAGACATTTTTAACTTATTAATATGAGAGAAGAATGCATTTAAAAAAAAATATGAACCCCTGTTCTTTAAGAAATGACTAAAATATAAGACAGAAAAATACTTTTATGACTAAAGGTAAGTTTCTGGTATTATATCAGTGCTATTTTTTTCATTTTCTTATTTTTAAAAAGAATTCTTCATCTTAGCAAATATCACATTTTGAGAGGTTAAAATTCATTTGATTATTGCAAAACAAATCACGGGTGAAAAGCACCTTTCCTGTATTTGATCCCTGTGATCTTGCTGGGGAGTATGATCTCTTTTGTGTACATGTGCTTGTCCATAGGTAAAAGGTAAAAGGCAGTTCTATTTATTTAGGCCCGAGTAGGACATTAAAATGTATTCTTTAAACAGTATTCCTACCTTGCATTGTTAATCCACCCATAAGCACTGTAAAGATATGCTGCTTCGTTACCTATCATAATTTGTTGTCAGCCCCAACTCAAATTGAGTTCCATAAAGAACAAGGTAACAAGTGAAAAGTACAACTTTACCCTAATGAAGAGGATCTTTTCTCCCACTCGGTATCTTCCTTGGGAGAGTCGCTCCACACAGAACTTAGCTGGGCATTTGCAAGGAGGATCTTCAGAAATTCGTTTCACCTGAAATAGAAGAGCAGACAAGTTCATTTTCCTTAACCAGGTTCCATTGAGGTTAATTTGTTTCAAAAGCTCTGAGGTCCCTGGACCATTAATGATTTTAAACTTGTTCTGTATCTATGGATGTGACGTGAGCACGGGGATATGATACTAAATCCTAAGTTTGGAATGGGAAGGTTCTACACGTCTAAAGATATCTTCTGAAGCCCATGATTACACTACGGCATACGCTGGGTAATAACACTCATGATGTGCAGAATAACAGTAAGGATATCAACTGGGACTGCAGAAATAATGAATAATGAGCTAGGTTTTCATTTATGGAGAGTTAAATAAAGGCCATGCACGTTGGTCTGTCAAAATAAATCTATTGAGAATTCAATGAAATCTATCTAAAATACGATGTACGTGAAATATCCATATGGTAAACTATAATAGAACATGTTAACATAGAGTATGTTTTCTCAGTATGGTTTCAATTATGTTAATTTTATCCAGTTTCAAAATAAATGAGAACAGATTTTTTTTTTTAAGGAGACTATTGTTTCCTCTTATTTTGAACTCTAAGATATTCTCTGAGAGGTCAAGTCTCTTTCACAAGCTGCACCCTGAAATTCTTTCAGTAGTTCTCAGTGGTTCCCACTTTCTAAATCCTACTTATGTGACCATGCCTTACGATTTATGTGTGTATTATGGAATCTGTGTCTGAATATCAGAGTTTTATCCCCATTTTTCCACCCACTCTTCAAAAATACATGAACGATGATTATAAACTGTTGTGATTATTGGAAGATAATATGATAGTCCCTGATTTTAGGAATAATTTTATATTTTCCTTGACTGGGAAACTGTCATTTTATGTTTCATGACTGTCTGCTTTATAACAAACCAACCAACCCAAAACAATAATCTCTTGTGTTTTGAAGAAAAGTTTCCATGGAAGAAACAGAAAACTGAATGAGCTGGATAGAACACAGGCTCTGAAGAAATTGGCCTGGGATTTCCACACCCAAATCCTTCCACACACATGTCTTGGTGCTTAGAGTTATGTCACAAAAGAAATTTAATTGTTCTTTCAAATAATTCAAGGTCTGACTTCAATCAGCCTTCTGCTAAGTAAAAACTGTGTAAGGAGTAACACAAGAACCAATTTGCATGTTGGCATAAACAACTGGGTTTCTCTAGAAGAGAGAGGTCCCCAAAGCGTGAAAGCTTAGCACAACTGAGGAAAGATTAGAAAAGGTGGAGAAATACTGAAACAAAATTTATCTTAAAAACTATATAATTATGTCACAATGAAGATATATACAAAAAGAACAAACAGTATTTTGGGGGTCAATGATGAGAGAACCAAGTTTAAGTTATGTATTTTCAGCACTTCCTCCTGCCATCCCTAACTGTGCCCACATATAAAACTACAACTCTTGGCACTTATTTCTATTACAGCATATCGTATCTCAGTTATTGGTTAACCTTAATGCCTCCTTGCGAGATTGAGTTACTTGTGGGGTAAGATAATAGTTCATTATATTTTAAAACTACAATAACTTAATGGTAAACAAGAAGCAGTCAATAAGTGCATATTGATGACATAAATGAATTCAAGCATGGATCTAAACAAGGTACAGAGAGACATGAGTGAAAGCGACTAAGACTGGATTCAAAGAACCTTAGAGATGCTTTCAAAATGAAGAAAAAAGAAAAATGAAGAAGCTGTCTAACCTTAAATTAATGATTAGGCTCACGACTTTGAATGCTGAGCTTTTCCTATCATATCATACTTGGCCCATAGATACATCCACCTCAGACCTCAGTATTAACAGACAACAGAGTTCTGTCCCTAGAGATTTGGGGGTTTTTTTGGACAGAGTCTCATTCCGGGCTCTGGGTGTCCTGTCCTGGCATTATAGCTCTCACAGCAACCTCAAACACCTGGTTTCATGTGATTCTCTTGCCTCAGCTTCTTGAGTAGCTGGGACTACAGACATGCACCACAACACCCAGGTAGTTTATTCTATTTTTAGTAGAGACCAGGCCTCAAACTCCTGAGCGCAAGCAATTCACCCGCCTTGGCCTCCCAGAGTCCTAGGATTATAGGCATGAGCCACAGCACCCACCCAGGGGAGACATTTTGAAAGCTTTTTCCTGCACAGGATGGTGATAAGAAAATGAGAAGCATTAAATTTGGCTAAGGATGATGCCGCCATTCCATTCCAATAAAGCAGAACCACATTCTGGGGTGGGAGTCCTAGGACCCATGAATATGTCTGTATGTGTTGTTCCCAGTGTTTGCCTATGAACATCTCTTTCTATATTTGTTTATAAAATGTGTTTAAAATATAAGTAGGTATATACATAAATTAAGTTTCCTTATCACTACAAATAAGGGCTTCCATGAAAAAAATCAAGAACCCAGGAAGGGAGGGGGAGGGAAGAAGAAGTGGGAGGGAAGTTTTGTTCCTCCACAGGAAAATCAGACAGACAGTGTCACAAACGCATGTGGCCTGAGGCAAGAACTTTTAGGAGGATCATTCCTGAAGCAATTTTGCTGCCACATAGTTACTGAGCAAATAATTCATTGGTGTTCAAGTGGTTCTTCCACCAAGAACCGGCAATCACCAGTGTGTACGGAAAGCATTTCCGTCTTTCAGTGCTCTTAGACAAAACACAGAAACTGTTGGTATCAAACGAAGTAAAATACAGGAAACGTTTTCTCAAGTGGCCTGCCCTTCTCTCATGCATTCCTAGCTTTGAAAATGAGCTTGGATTTTACAAATCAAGGGCTTTTTAAAAAATAGTTGTGTGAGAGGAGGAAGCAGAAATGGAAGAGACAAGGCCAGATTGTGGGCAGTGGAAATACAGCGTCAAGTCAACAGAGGCTGATGACATCTGCGCGTCTCACATTACCTGGGGATAAGTCAGCCTGGCAGGTGTTCTGTTTGGGGCCAGGATCCCAGCCAGCTTTCTGCTGAAATGGGATTTCGAGAGGAGCCTGCTTGCTCAGAATGACACTATCTCTCACCCCCAGACTGAGGAAGCTGATGGAGAAGAGGAAGAAAGCAAGAATGCCTCTCAGAACTGTATTCAGCTCATTGTGTGGGAACCAGCCCGGCGTGAGGGACGGTAAGGAGAACTGAACCGGACCCCACCGCGTTATCGCGGCTGAATCGCTCTATCCGGACATCTGCAGAATAAATTAACCTGAATACACGCCACTGGGTTTCTTTCATGATATCTTGATTAAAGAAGGTCAGAGGCAGTATTCACAGAAAAGGTCACCTATTTTGTGTTTATTCTCTGCTATTCCCCGATCAAACAAAGAAATGTAAGAAACACTGAAAGTTTCAAAGCGGCGGTCACTGCTCCGACTGTTCCCTGGAGCATCACAGCTCAGGACACGCTCGCTTCTCTTTCTTTGCTTTTCATCTTTTTCCATTTTGTTCATTTTCTCTTTATTTCTCCTGCTCCTTTTCCTTTCTTTTTTGTGAGTGTAGCTAATTGCTTCACCAGAGTATAAATAGCCAGTATTCTCAACTAAACACAGGAACTTTGCAAGCAATCTCTATTTTATAACCCTCTTCTAAACTACACGTTGGGGTGCATCAGTTTCAGCTCCCAAACGCTGTCTATGCCCCATGGACAGTGATGCAGTTGCCACAGGAACCACTTCCTTTTTCTATTGGACACATGAAGTTCCCATCTAAACCATTAGCGAGGCTCAAATGACTATTCTCCCTGCTCCACTGTTCCTGAAATAAAACACTTCAGTAAAAAACCATCATTTACACAGAATGCAAAGAGTTCAGTCAAGTTTTCCCCAAGGTAGAATGAAGGGAACTGTAAAAAACTTCTGTGCTTAACTCCATTTGGAAAATCTCAGGTCAAGCCAGATTGTCTAAGGAACTCACCAAGGCCTCTGGAATGCCAAAGTGTATTGCCAAACTCGAGGAAGGGACAGAGCACCTTCTATTTCTCAAACTAACCTAACCATGAACTTCTTTTCCCCATGGGATATCTGGAGGTGTGTTGGATTAAATATTCCTTGAAAAATACTGGTTTAAAGACTTGTAGAACATGCTATTCTAGCTGGTAAATATACAGAAATATCCAGTTTGTACTGTATTTTCTAAATTCGATTAAAACCCCTCAACTAAATAGATGGTTATGTTCCCAGACTCCTGTAAGCATCACGAAAGTGCAGGATCCTCCAAAATCCCTTCTATGTCTCTGGCTGAGAGAGCAGCAGGTGGAGCAGGAGAGAACCACCATCCACGCCTGACTGCCTTCCCGGCATATGGCACGACCCTATCTCTTTCTCTTTTTTTTTCTGAAAACTATTGGTGAAAAATTTTCCTAAATGCTTGTTGTGGTTGTTTCACTACCTTTTCACCCAATCCCCTTTTTTGGCCCCTTCTCAAGAATAAAGAACAGACAAGTAGAAGACAAAGTGGGAAAGAAAGAGAACCCTTGCAGCCACTTCTCCAGGTTCTGGACATAAGCGGCTTCAACTGGCCATATCTCCTCCTTCTACAAAGCTGCAGCAGAACTGAGAAGTTCATGCATTTCCAGAGCACAGGTTGTTCCGGATAAACAGAATAAGGGAGAAGATTTTATTTTATTTTTTTCAGTTTTTGGCTAGAGCTGGGATTGAACCTTCCACCTCCTCCGGCATATGGGGCCAACACCCTACTCCTCTGAGCCACAGGCACTGCCCAGGGAGAAGATTTTTTAAACTTTAATTACCTGCATTGATCATTTATCCGATAGACATGGTACCAGACAGATGGAGATTAATAAAACATCATCTTTGTCTTTGAGAATAAAGTCTGCACCTTGAGAGGAATGGATCGTGTCCCCAAATGCAAATGCCCCATTGAATATGTACAAATACTTGAGGCACCAAGGAGTAATTTGTCATTTTACCTGGAAGGAGAGGTGCCAAGGAAATTTTACACAGGAGGTAATATAATCTGAATTTTAAAAAGAGAAAAGGTTATTGAAAGTAGATTTAAAATGCGTTTAGGCAGAAGATGAAGAAAGAAACAATGGCTATGAAAAAATTCAGAGATTAATCCAGAGGACAAAAGGGCTGGGATGCACACTGTGGGCCAGAACGTGGGTGTCATACGTGACATACCAATGATTCTGGGATTTACTCTGGATGTTTTAGGGAGCTATACATAACTTTAATAGAATCTGAACTGCATTTAGTTAAGTCATTCTGTTAACAGTGATATTTGTAGAAACATTTCCAGAATGGAGAGGTCAACAGCGTCTACTGCCAGGAAGAGATCTCATAATTTGAGCACTGCATTAATTCTTTGAATTCATTAATTTAATAAGAGGTTAAGGGAAATATTGGCCAGATACTCCTTGGTGATCTGGGACCCGGAATATAAATAAGGCTTTAAAAATGAATGGAGGAGATAGCTGAGAATGGACTGAAAGCACGTATCGTAGCACCAGAAAAACGCATTTATAAGAGATAGACCAAAGGAACTCCTGAGCCTAAAGTAAGTCTAATCAAAAAGAGTAATTCAGAAAGAAGAAAAATTGTTCTCATCAAGGTATAAGCAATGCATCATTATTTACTATTAAAAGTTATTCAATTTGCTTACTACCTAAAAAAGAAAGGAAATATTATAAAAACCAAGGTATCTGACCAGCCCTTAAAAACAGTCTGTGATTTAAAAATCCATTTAAGTGGCACTAAATTAAAATGTATCACCTATTCTTTATGTCCTGAGTGAATCAATTACCCAAAAGAAACTCAATTAAACTGGTGTTGTCCAAGATATCTTTTTAGGGCCTAAGTTCAAGTTTGTTGCATTTAACACAAACAGCAGTTTTTAATCCATCTGACACTTTGTTATGTATCTGCTCATCTATAGCTGCGACATGGTTTATAGTTTCACATGGAAAAAAGATGGGTAAATCTTTTGTTCCATATCTTCTAGCATCGATCAGCCTTTTCTCTAGCCCTTTTTGGTTTAGATTCTATAAGCAGTGTTTTCCAACCTTTATCTCACGGCACACTTGAACCTATAGTTAAACTTCTACTGCACACGTAAATTAATGTTGATCATAAAAAAGAGTGTTAAAAAGAACACACTTACTGTGCTTTGAACTTCTTTTGAAAATAATTTAATTGATGAGCTTTACAACTGTCACAGCAGTTTTTTTTTTCCAGTCTGTATTATTTATTAAGAGAAATCAAACCTTTAAAAGAGTCAAAAAACTCTTTTATATATACTGAGGGTTTATTAAAACCATCCATCCTGAATTGGACATATAGAACATTTACTGCAGAGTTTCTATTGAGGAAATATTTTGAATCTCTAGTAAGAAAAACAATCAGAATACAAAGCCGTACAATAATTATGATTTTATGCGATACACGGCATGCCAGTGTGCCACAGTACACGCTGGGTGAAAAGCACTGCTCTACAGAGACAGAAACTCTCAGCGACCAACCTAAGCAAACCAGCAGTCCTCTTTCATCCCGTCTGTTTTGTTTTGTTGCAGTTTTTGGCCTGGGCTGGATTTGAACCCACCACCTCCAGCATATGGGGATGGCGCCCTACTCCTTTGAGCCATAGGCGCCACCCCCATCCTTCTTGTTTTTATGGCTGGTACTGTGGTTGGTGCTAGTTTCTAAGAACTCTCCCAAGATATGTGAGACCCATGTCAGTCTGATGCCCCTGGTCTTATTATTTTCTATAAAATTCATAAGCAAATACAACTTCACAATGCAGACTTTATATGAACAACACCCCCAGACACCTGTGATTTCTCTCCTTTATTAATATTTTTCACATTTGTGCTTAAAATGTATGTGTATGGTGGGGTAGGCATACACATGATCAAGTAACCAATTATCATCACCTGTAACTACTTACTAGCCCACTGGGTAGCCTGAGAGTTTTAATTCGCCCTGTTTGCTGTTGAACCCAGAAACCTCTCACTATGGTTATATCTAGGGTGACCAGACGTCCCGCTTCTGGTGGGGACAGTCCCAATTTTTAACAGTTTGTCCTGCATCCCACAGCGTTTTATAAAAGTCCCAATTTTGGGGAGGAATGCACGAATGGGTGGGAGAACAGTAAGGGAACATACGGGTTTTGGCTGCCATGTGGCTATTTCGCCAGGATATGAGTTTTATACTATTTTTATTAATTTTATAATGTTAAACTGTAATAATAACAAATAATTGTTCAGAAGTGATTATCAAGAACTGCTTATCAAAGTTTGCATTGTTGTCAGGCCCCGCCCCCCATCAATGGTGTCCCACTTTACCAATGTTAAAATCTGGTCACCTTAGTTATATCATTAAAATTATTCCTAACTGCCAAAAAACATGACTCAAAAATCTTCCCTGCCTGCCCTCCCTTTTTCCCTCCCTTCCCCTCCTCTCCCCTCCCCTCTCTTCAGCAGGTTACTCAACTTCCTGTTTCCATTTCCTCAGTATGGAACTGGCCTTTGAGACACAAAACATATGAAATGCAATGACGGACCCTGTCTGAAAGCAGGTGGTCCTTAAGGGCAGTTGTCTTCTCTGCCCCTGTTTGCTTTCCCTTCTTTAACAGTTCTCAAGCTCTTTCACCTCAGGGTTCTCATCTGTGAAAGGAGGACTCAGGGTCCAGTAACAATGAGGTTTAGGTGTTTTCAAATACAAGTTTTAGGAAGCTGATTTATTAGCCAAACATTTTAGATAATACTCAGCAAAAGTATGTGACATTTTCTTTTAAAAGACTGGCTTGGTTTTGATACTCACAATGTATTGCAGGACTACGTAAAAGCATTTCCACTGAGGTGTAAAATGTATTTTCAAGAAATTGAAATAGGTAAAGGTCCCACGGATATGGCGCTGTAGGGAAGGTGTTGAGCAGGGCGTCGGAGGCATTTTACTTACTGCATCGTCCAGTAAGTTTCCTGTACTCTTTTTTCCAGAAGATTTTGATGAAGGAGAAGGTGAAGGAGAAGGAGCAGACAGTGTTTCTTCTTGTTCAATCTCTTTTTCCAATTTTATCAAGCCAGGAGGCTCCACACCATACCTTTTAAGAGATACACTATCGTTATGGTTATATATGTATAACATAAAATTATCGCATATTACAGTTGATTATGAACCTTTAGCAGCAAATGGCTGACTTGCAAAAACAAAATCCACATTTCTAGCATTAAAATGCTAAGTTCTTAAAGTTTTGGCCTTTTCAGCAGGGAGACATGTGTAGAATGGTTGTGCTTGTACATGTGTGCACATATGAATGAATACATATACCATGTTATAAATAAATAAAAAATACTCAATATAATACATTAACAAATCAAAAACATATAGAACCATTAAAATTTGATCTTCAGCTTTTCCGTTTATCAGCTTTAATGACATTAAGGCTGCTTTGAATGCAAGCTTGCTAAAATAGACATAAAATCAGTGTCAGAGTCAAGTTTGAAATAGTTCCAGAACAATGCACTATAGTCCCAGCATCATAGGTTATGCTCTTAGGAACAACAAAATAAAAACACATATATTACTATTGGGAAAGAAAATGAACAGAGAGGAAACAGAGAAATAATTTAGAATAATAATACATAAAAAAGTGGATTATAAATTATATATGGCGAATGCCATAAAAGTTTAAAGGGAGAGATGGAGTTGCTATCAGCGATTTCTCACAGTCATAATTTTCTTAAGCTAAATATAAAATTAGATTTAATTTCCTAGATATAAACTGTACCGACATAGGGAAGGCTGAAGATAATTCTAGAATTTGAGATTTGTGAAGAATTTGGGGATCACTGAGTTACCACTTTAATTTTTACAGATAGGAACACAGACATAGAGAAAGAAGGTACGTAATTAGCTAGGGGCAGGGTAAGGACTGAAATGCAGGTTTTCTGCCTTCAGGGTAGACACCATTTTCCCCCGCCTGTTAGAAAGGAGAGAAAAAAGTCACTTGGAGATTTAAAAAGAGGCTATGGACAATCTACAAAGTAAATGATCTATAGGCAGAGAATGTGTTGACAATACATTTAGTACCTTTGATTGAATAGTATATGAAAACATCATCAAATGAAAACCGTAGGTGATTGCCCTGTTCTAATGGCTTGTTACTTGAACTGACACTTTTACACACATCTTCAGCACACACTTCGAGGGGTAAGCAATTTCCCTGCTCACAATGTTTTATGCTGTACTGGGGTCTCAAGTAGTTTAATCTTGGATTTCTCTGCTTCATTCCCCACTCCTTTCCAAATAGATGAAGGGATTTATCACCTTAGTAAATCTCAGAATAAACTGAGCTCTTCTTCCAGGGAGGACACTGCTTACGGGGAGCCATCTCTGAGGACCCTGGCCAGGACTCATCTTTCCTTATAACTGGCTAGTGACTTGACCTAACTCAGGAGTTCAGTTAAAGGCAGTAAGCATGTCTGTCAACGTGTACCTTCATAGTTACAAAGACGATGTTTGACGTATTTCAGATGTCACTTTCAAATTCTGTGGAAATTTTAATGGCTATGCTTTAATATTGTTAGAAGGAATCAAAATAGTATACATTACATGTCCAATAGTGTCTGACCATGGTGCCACTTCTGAGATTGCCATTCAGATATTTGACACATCAAGGCTTGCACAACCAGAAAACTAGCCCTAAGACACTGCTGCCAAAGGTTTGGATTTTTTTTTTTTTTTTTTTTAAGACAGAGCCTCAAGCTGAGCCCCTGGGTAGAGTACCATGGCTTCACTGCTCACAGCAACCTCCAACTCCTGGGCTCAAGTGAGTCTCCTGCCTCAGCCTCCCAAGTAGCTGGGACTACAGGCGCCCACCACAACACCCGCTATTTTTTGGTTGCAGCCATCATTGTTGTTTGGTGGGCCTGGGCTGGATTCGAACCCGCCACCTTAGGTGTATGTGGCTGGCACCTTAGCCGCTTGAGCCACAGGCGCCAAGCCACATGGATTTCTTTAATGTATTATTCCACCAAATGAGATCACATTAGCCTCAAAAGTAAGGTGTTAGTAAGATAAAAAGTAGTATAGGGTGGTGCCTATGGCTCAAGGAGTAGGGTGCCAGCCCTGGCCAAAACTGCAAAAAAAAAAAAAATATATATATATATATAATATTTATATATATATATACATATATACTACTTTATATGTAGTGGTATTATTACTACTTGTATTATGTTTGTTACAAAATAATTTGTATTAGGCATTCTTTTTTTTTTTGGCAGTTTTTGGCCGGGGCTGGGTTTGAACCCGTCACCTCTGGCATATGGGGCCTTTGAGCCACAGGTGCCACCCTGTATTAGGCATTCTTTAACAAAATGTGTTAGAATTCTAGATTATCAGAAACCTCTCAGTCCTGGAGGTTAGCACACCACCTTCTACCTCTAGCCTTGCTGCTAACTCACCAGATGAACTTGGGCAGGTGACCCTTTTTAATCTCTCTGGCCTTTTTTGGATTCTTAGCTCTATCAAATAGAAAATTTGGTTATATTTAATGTTCTTCAGAGAATAATATAAACTTAGTAGTGAAGCCAGAGGAACTTAACTAGAAGTCGCAGCCAATTAAAAGTCAATCATCAGTGAAAACATCATCTTCGAAAGTATATTTTAGCTCAATTGGAAAATATGATTTCATTCGGTAATTGTAGATGGATTCATGCCATCTTTCAGGAACACATTGCATAATTTTTTTTTTTTTTACAAAGTGAAATAATAAATATGCTCTTAGAGTAACAACAAGCTCGACTTCATGGCCAATACAAACACAGCAGACTAGGTCAGAATAAAATGGGTACCACAGTCACACATGGAAAACCTCGTCCTGGAGGGTTTTCTTTATCTGGGAATCCTGATCAGCTATGCCACTGAACACAGAAAATCAGCACTAAGTCCCAAATTTCTGCTGATGTGGCTTTTGGAGACTTCAAACCGCCTAAGGTATAGTCAGCCGGTCCAGAAATGTACACTTAATACGACGTACTGGCTTCCTGTCTGTCTGGAGATGTCAACAGGCCGTAAATCAAAAAATCCCCCTTGGGTTGGGGGCCAGCACCTGCAAGCCAACTTAGTCATCAAATATGTCTTTTCAGTGTGTTCTCCAAAAGCCTGCTTCATTCTGGATTCTGCAGTTAACTCCACAGCACTTCGGATTTCTATTTTGTCTGTGAGCTTTCACAAATTTATACTGTTTTCCATTCTTTTCCGACTACAAGACCTTAGAGTTTTAGAAGTAGCTAGATTTTCTAGTTATCAAAACTACAAAAAAAAAAAAAAAGAAAAGAAAAAGGAATAAATTAATTAAAAAATAGAGTAGAAGCAGGTAGCTGTTCTCAATCTGAAATTTAAGAGATCAAATAGGTCGATTCACTAAAATCAGTCCTCATACCCTAGTGATATAAAAGTAGGGTGAACATGTAAAGGGCAACATTGTTATTGTCATTTATTATTATTATTATTGTTTAAAAAAATAGCAAAGTGCTAGGAAAGGGCTCTTATGTCTAACGACTTTAGGAGGAGAGTCTGGGAATGAATTCCCATTTTCCTAGCAGCCTGACACAGCTTTGGGCATTGATCTAGATGAAATAATTGAGTCCGAAAACTGAGCCCTGAGCTAGAAATTGTACTCAAAGCACTTAATAGACTATAGTTTTCAAACAAAAGACATCTGGAGCCTATCGTAGCAGGAGTAGAGGAATGAATTTTATACTCAAATAAGAGAAATGCTTCCTTGTTAAGGCATGTTTATAGATATATGCAAGATAACTTTTGCCCCACTTATCTTTTGTTTTAAAACAATTAAAAGATAGGATAGATTTGGAAATAAATTTCAACCACGTCAAAGTATATGATATTCTTAGCAGTTAGTTCAAGTGCTTTGGGTAGAGTGAGTCAAGTAATAATCTTTATCTAATGTTTTCTTTTTTTTCTTTTTACTAACCTTGTCTTTTATAAGACCATAGATTGTAATGGGAGATTAAAAAAAAAATGTTCACAAAGTATATTTCTTTGGAATGGTCACAATTGTTCCAAGTCAAAGAAGTACTAAAAAATATAAATCATAAAAATCTCCACTATGATGTTGATTATTGATTATAGCCCCAAACCAAAATATCAAAAGTTTTTTATTATCATAAAAATAATCTTAACTGCACAGTCTGTAAATGTGTTGAATTCACAGTATTTTTTTTTTTCAGGATCAATATCAAAGTATTGTCACGAAAAGTATCTTTGAGGTTTTATTAACTTCCTTTTGCTGAGTGTTTTGCTTTTCACAAGATAAACACATACTTTGTGTTCAGAAACTGACATATTTCTGAACGATTAGCAGAGGGATTTCACTTTTCAGTGATGATAACTCTATTTAGTTGAAATGAAAGAAAGTTTTACCCATGAGAACCAACATAAGTGGTCTCATTCTCCCATCACAGAACTCAGAAACGTCCACAGCTCCCAAAAGAGTTTCACTAAGTATCCCAAGACAGAAAAACACAGCAGAAAATCAGAAACTGTCTGGGAATCATTTCTGAAATTATGTTGATGCTTTTAAAATGACAGGCAATTTGGAGAAGTAAATGTTTAGAATCAAATGTAAGAAAGGATCATGTAACCGTGATCAAAAAAAGTCTCCACCAGATAACACGACTGTAGTTGTGATTTTATTATGGTCAAAAGTCATCTGCAGTGTGTGCAGAGTAATCTTGTAATTATGGAGAGCTCTCCCATAATCACTTCTAGTTTTGGATAAAGCTGTTTTAACTCATTAATTTGTGTAATGTCCCACAGAGGAATGGGGAAAGGAGGAAGCACAAATGTAAGTATTTAGATATAAGTTTAATGTATCTAAAGTAGAATTTAAGAGTAAAATTGGATTGAAGAAATTAATTTCCATTTTTTCTCTCAACTTAGGCTTTAACACAAAAGTTAGGTAATAAAATGTGGGTTATTGGGTTTCTGTTTGTAAAGTACTAATGAACTTCCATCAAAATAAATCATCAATGCATACCAAGAGAAATTTAAACAGACATTCATACTTAAATGTTCAATCTCTCCAGTTGGCATTCAAATGTTTAATATCATGCTGCATACAGCCACAAAAATGACACCATTAATTATCTATGAGTATATTTTTTTATTGAAAGTATATAATACTTCACACCACTCAAGTAGGGTAAAGAGGATAAAAGGCCAAGTTTACAAACTTTTGGTAAAATCAGTAATTGAACTTTTTTTAACGTGGGTAATCACTGCTCTTATCAGGCTGCCTGGTCATAGAGCATGATCTGAAATGGAGCAGCCCAAAATCACGAATTTAAAATATTTGGGTATGGGAAACTCTTCACATGGTGCTGCTCCTTGATACCAATTAGACTGTTATGATTTCCTGTTAACCAAGGCTTTTAATTTGGTTTATTCCCCAAGACAAGGGGCAATTTATGGTAGATTCGGAGCTGGAGAAGAGGTGATTTTTTACGAGTATTTTGTCATTGGCTAGCTGATCTCCTCCTTTGATGACTAGTTCATAGTTAAAATGTTCATTTCAGTAGAATGCTTAGTCACAGCATTCACGTAATCAAAGTATAAGAAAACAAAATAAAAAGTCAGAAAACAGGCAAATATTATAAACTAAATGGGAGGAAAATGACAAATCCCAACTCATTCTAAACAAAGTGCCACTTTCTGGGTTGACTCTGTACCACAACTTAGAGAAACTGTTTATCGGATGCAGGTGTTTAGATTATTTGAGCAACAAAATGGAATTTCTCCTGTTAGATGACTCTGGTGGTATAATGAAAACAACACCAAAAGATTTTTGCCTACTCTTTTGTTGAGAACTCCCATGTTTCTTTGACTTGAGCGTGTCGGTAGCTCATTTATGACATTGTGTGTGTTTTCCTGCCCTCTCTATTTTTAACTTCTTTCTTCAGGGAAAGCTGCTAGGTCCTTAGTATTCATTTTACTCAAAGGTGTACCTGTGCCAACAATACCTCTGTCCTCCTCCCTGATAGAACCCAAGAATATGGCAGCACTAAAGGCAACGGAGCCCTTGGAAATAATCAGACACCAGGAGCTTGATGGACACCCACACAGCAGACACCTGAGAAGACCAAAGCCTCGAGGGTCCTTCCTCAGGGGCCTTCACACAATTATCTGCAAATGGATGGGGGAATAGAAAAGATCTCCAAATGTCTCACAGTGATTTTTTTATTCTACATTGAGTAAAACCTAGTAATATTTTTTTGAATTAAAAAACACATTACATGGACCCTTCTCACACCCAATGACTGTGGTAAAATAAAATTCATACCCAATGCACAATTCGTTGAGACTATATAGGCTATGATGATGTGAAGAATTTGAGGTTACATTGTCTGATCACATCATCTGATTAATTTTCTACTGGATCCAGAAAATGTCTGTCTGTTCAGTGCCAGCATGTTTTCTAGTCACATTCTCATCTGCCGATGTACTTAGCTTGGATTTTCCTTTTTTTATATTTTTCCATAAATTCTCTATTTGAGGATAGAAAGCCAGTGCTAGCTCTTTTTTTAATCTTAGTTATTCTTCTGGTCTCAACCCTAAAAGTATACTACGAGCATGTGGATCAGAAGGAAGCTTCTAATTAATTCTAAATTTGTAATCTGCATTAAGACCTCTTCATTTCTCACTCTTTGGGCCTCACAGAGCTATTGAAAGCCCTGCCCAATGGCTTGCAAGATGATAAATGGTAAAACCAAACCAAGTCGGCTTAGGTAACAAAGTTCCTACCTCTGCTTATGTAGCTATGATTTCTGCAATTACTTCCTGCTTTTTCTTATCATAGAGGAGGAAAAAATCAAGTTTCAAAGATCTACCTATACAAGGATAACATTTTCTGTCTATATCTATTAGAAATACAGAAAATAATTTAAAAACTTTTAAAAACTACCTCCTCACTGAGAATTGGGAACTAAAAGAGCTGAAAGATGAGGTGTTGAATGGGGAAATAAGAGGAAGGAACTAAAATAAGACCAAAAATTATTAAAACAAACAGAAGTCAAGGAAGTAAAGGAGGAAAAAAAGAGAGAAAATACAAGAACAAATTTTCCACCAAGGATAGAGTAACTCTCACTTAAAACTTCATGTCCTAGAACATCTCCTTTTTCCCGAGAAAGGTTTGAAAGGAAAATGTATTTGATTAAAGGATATTAGCAAATGCTCAGACATGGTGTCTGGACAAGACGCCCATGATGCTAAGAATACTGGTGACATGCGTTTGGTTTGATACACCGCTCTCAAGCTGTTCATATATCACGTTTGAATGGGTAGCTTTTCAATATCCAGGTTAGAGGTCAGCAGTGAGAAGCCTGCAAGCTTCGCTGTTGCTTGGATGCTGCGATAGTCTGTGTCTTAACAGACTCGCAATAGTTTGACCTACCTGGCTGCAATCCGGCCAAGCTCCAGCAAACAGAGACACACTTCTCTGGGTTGCTTGTGGAGGACTGAAAGACAAGATAAAGGGGAACACTGTTACAAAAGCAGGGCTTGTAACGCAGCTCAACAGTGAACAGGCTTGCCAGTGACCTCCATCTCTCACGCTCCTAGTAAATGAGCTAGTCTTTCTTCTGGCATTCATAGCAGCCATCCTATTCTGCAATACACCTAAACTCTACTAAAAGTTGACAGTAGTTAAGACTCTGCTCCCCTCCCTAGAGCTATCAGCCTCAGGAACTCTCATCCTGAGTAAATCTCACCCTGAACATATTTTCTTCAATTAGTTAATATTAAGAAGTCAATTCTGAATACATATGTAGCTATAATTCTGATACATATAAAAATTTAATAAATATTTTTTACTTTTCTTTTTTTGAGACAGAGTCTCATTATGTCACCTTTGATAGTGTTGTGGCATCACAGCTCACAGCAACCTCAACCTCTTGGGCTTAAGTGATTCTCTTGCCTTGGCCTCCCACGTAGCTGGGACTATAGACACCTACCACGACACCCAGCTACTTTTTGGTTGTAGTTGTCATTGTTGTTTAGCTGGTTGGGCAGATTCACCCGTGTGCCTCAGTGTATATGGCCAGCACCCTAACCACTGAACTAGCGGTGCTGAGGTGATACATATTTTTTAAAGACTCACTATATACAAGACCATAGAGCAAGAACTAACCTTTAAAATATCCGAGGTCTACCTTCACCAGTGATTTTAGCAAAACTAACAAAATGATAAGCATAAAAAATTATATACCATTGTCCTATGTTATCTTCTAAACAAAGACAAAGGTCAAATGAGACAGTGAAATTTTATGTCCTCTCCTAAACAAATCTTATTAAATATTACTTTAAGAAGGAAACACTTTCAACAGATTGGATTTTGTAAAACAAACCATTTTACTATCAGCCAGGTAGTAAATTGTTGCCCATCAAACAAGAAAATTAAAAGACTGTTCCTTGAATTAATATTTCTGTTCTAATAGAATCCGAGTAAGCAGTGAACCTGTTTTACTGATAATTTAAACACATTATTCAGTAATGTTGACAAGTCATACTTGCTTTTGTTGAGCCTACCAGAAGAACATGTGGGTGAGCACATCACTCTCTATCAACCAAAAGTAGGAGATTATTAAAATGTTATTATTAGCACTGAGTAAAGATAAGAAATATTGAGGGAAAATTGCCTCGAGAACAGTCTTTACATAGACACAATATCCTAATAAAAGAAAACACTAGCTTATTGATTGATTACTTACTATACAGTTTGATAAACTAGCAATATTGCTTTAATTCTTAAACACAGAATTTGTAATAATTCAATTTTTCCCGTAATATCCTATTCACTTAACATAAATACAGTATTCTAACTTCTCCTTCACAGATTATGATAGTGGCAATATTTTGTCCACTGACACAATAATGGAATTTGTTGAGAGTGCGTGATAAATAGAAAAAAAATACTTTTACTGGATTACAAATGTATGTGATTTCACTTGGCTTTAATCAGATGTACTAATTTATTTCTATTTGGTTAGAAAAATGTCACTTTTAAAGATTTTTTAGATAAATTCTAATCTAACCCCTGTAATCGATTATGAAATTTCCTCATTATAGAATATTTCCACTCTTGGGAATATAAATTTCAGATTCATCTGATCATTGGTGAATTGTCAGGAAGCCCTATTTAGGGAAGCTCCAATTACCACTAATTAAAAGGCCTTAAAATAAAGATGTTTATTACCTCCAATTTCAAATGTACCACTAGCTGACTGGAGCCGGAATGATACCAACTTCAGGAAGTATGATATGTTTAATCGACTTCAGGGCAAGGTAACATGGGGACTCTAACATCACATAAGCAGAATTTCAACCAGAGAATTGCAACATTCATCACAAAACAGAAGTAAATAAGTAAAAATCATTTTGTCTAGATTATCAGTTTTTTCTGAGTCAGACTTTTTTTATCTGCCATGAGTATGGCATAAAATAACAACAGGATTTTTGAGTGGGAGAAAAGACTACATAAAAACTGAGGGGAGGAAAACTTTTAAGTCCCTGCTAACGTCCTTATCTTGAGTAAAAGCTATGTGAAGCCAGTGGCTAATGTCCCAAGACATTTGTATACAATTTCATGCATTTTATGATGAAAACAGTGTCAAAATATGAAACTGACCAAATTCTCTCAATTCGCAGTCAACAGGCCGTGATAAAAAATAGCTAACACGATTAAAATGGTTATTTCACAAACTTATTGTACCTATTTTGAGGACTAGATAAGGATAGTATATGAATAGATCTATTTTATGGAAAGTCAAGTTTTTTCTAAACAATGTGAGTTACATAATGAAGACGATTTGACAAGAAGCCAGAATCACTATTATGCATCTCTTTGCTTTTCTCGTCTGTCGATTTAAAAGCTAAAATTCAAATGTAGAGTCTATCACAGACTCATCAGAAAATCAGTTGGGTAAACAGAAAAGTAGTGAATGATTTTGATTTATCTTCTTAGAATCAAGCAATAGAATTTACAAACAAATCTCTTCCCCAGCATCATTTTTTTAGGAGAATGCTAACAGAAAAATAAGGCTTGACTTTCAAGTTTTCTTGGGAATGTTGTCTTTTATAAGTAATACAATTGTTTCAAATATACTTGTCTCATAGGTTGATACCTTTTCAATTATCAGGCATATCATGCTTGTCACCTAATGACCAAAAAAAAAAAAAAAAATCAAAGTTTGGTGAGCAGTAAGCAGTGAATAAATCTATAGAGGCGCATAGCATAGTACAATACCTAGAACAGAGCGAGGCCTCAGTAACTACGATACCGCACGATGTGGAGAATGATGACAGTGTCACGGGGGGTGATAGTGATTGTGAACAATGCACAAAAGGAATAATGACTAAAATTTTACATGGCATCTTTAGAAAAGGCAGGAGTTTAAATGATAAATGTTTGGGTAATTTCAACAGCAAGTACTCTTACCCTACTGCTGTAAAACGAAATTAAAAAGTTTTTGAATAGTATTTATATCATACCAAAAGGTGACCCTAATTTTTACACTAAAGCAAGTTCTATAGTAAAGTTAATAGATAGAAAGGGGTTAGTGATTGTGTGACTCAAGCCACAAAGATCAGGATGTAGTAAGCATGAGTGCTAACATTTGCCAATTATGTTGTTTTGGAAGATTATTTTATGAAATATCTGTTTTCTAAGAGAAAACAATGGTGCTTAAATCACAATATTTTTGTGAAATTAAGCCAAATAACATTTATTGTTATACTTAGGACAGTATTTTGCAAATATGAACTATCTTCCCAATGTTAGTTTTCTTTTTTTGCAGTTTTTGGCCAGGGCTGGGTTTGAACCTGCCACTTCTGGTATGTGGGGCCGGCGCCTTACTCCTTTGACCTACAGGCACTGCCCCTTAGTTTTTTTTATTGTTCTTGTTATTTCTTTAAAGATGATCTTTATTTAGCCCATAACATTAATTTGCTTTTTTTCTCCCATCAGTGACTACACTAAGCCATCAAATATTTTAAATATTTTATTAATTGTACTGTATCAAAGATAGTTAATTCTAAATTCAATTAAATTTCAGTTTAAATAGGTCAATTTGGCCAGAAGGTATAGACAGATAGAAAGGAGATATCCTGTACTTATTACAGGTTTGTTCAGAGTATAAAGCTTAAGTAACAATTACATTTTGACATTTGTTATTTTTGTTTTCTTTTTTTTTGAGATAGAGTCTCACTATGTTGTGCTTGGTAGAGTGCCGTGGCATCACAATTCACAGAAACCTCAAAGTCTTGGGTTGAAGAGATTCTCTTGTCTCAGTCTCCCAAGTACCTGGGACTATAGGCACCTTCCATAAGGTCCAGCTATTTTTTCATTATAGTTTTCATTGTTGTTTGGCAGGACTGGGCTGGATTCAAACCCACCAGCTCTGGTGTATATGGCTGGTGCCCAAACCACTGAGCTACAGGCACTGAGCCAACATATGTTATTTTTTAAAATACTAAACAACTTGTCATTAATTATCACCATCTCTGAAAGTAAAATAATCCAGCTGAGTCAATTTTTAACTATTATCTATGTTAATTATGTATGACCTACTTTAGAAGATCAAATAATTGAATGCATATTTTTTGTAAGGATCATTACACATTCAACTTTATCATACTGTGAACTGTGGGTCTTGCACTGAGTCACGTGTATCATTCATTCTGAACATACTTACTCCTTTGTATTTTCGAAAGAAACTTCTACTTTTACTGAAATTTATACTAAATTTTTCCCACTTTATCACTGTTATATGAACACAGCATTGTGCTTTGACCTAAGGGGCAGAAAAGGGAACTGCTGTTGGTTTCTTTCCTCTGGACATTTCTCTCTAAAACAAACAAAAAGTTCCCCAGTCAATGGTGATGATTATGGGAAAGATTTTATCATTGGAGGCTTCTTTTTAAATAATCAAAACCAGTTCAAAGAAAAGAATAACAAAACACCTCTGGGAAAAGTAACACAGATTTCCATTCAAAAATATGTGGCCAGCGACTGACTCAATCTCATAACCTAGATTCTATAAAAAAAAAATCTCAGGGGCATCAAATGTCAGATGGAATGCTGCTGCTAGCTACAGGAATAGAAAATGAGGCCTTCCACTAATACGAGGGTAGAGTTTCAATGTCACAGACTCTGCAAGGATAAAATGCATTAGACCGTGAATGTATAGTTTAACTAAGTACATTAAGTTTTAACAGATGGGCAGAGAAATGGAAAGCATGAAAAATTGCGTTAGCTCTTTGGTTTCTAGACAGCTAGAGGCTACAAAACTCATGGTAATTTTGAAGGAAACTGCATTTTAACGTTTTATTTAGAAGGGAGATTTAAAAAGATTATATTTTGGCTAAATGTTTATTGTAAAAATGTCAGAAATTACCGACTGCCTGGCTTCTCAGAGTGGAGCGAAGGTTCTAAGCACGGAGGGTGGGTTAGTAGAAGACT